AAATCATCCATGAAGACCCTTATGTCCCCCAACAATAAACTGGACTCCGACCCTACAAGGAAACCAGTTGATGCTACAACCTATAGGGCTATCATTGGATCATTTATGTATCTCACGTTCAGCGGGCCTGACATTATGTTCTCAACATGCATGCGTGCTCGATTTCAAGCTAATCCGAAGAAATCCCATCTGACTACTGTGAAAAGGATTTTGCGATATTTGAAAGGCACAGTGAACGTAGGCATTTGGTATCCCAAGCATTCAGGTTTTGACCTTGTTGGGTACTCGGACGCTGACTTTGCTGGTTGCCTAATGGACCAGAAGAGTACATCGGGAAGCGCTCAATTTCTGGGAGAGAAGCTAATATGTTGGTCCTCCAAGAAGCAAAACTATGTGTCAACATATACAGCTGAGACAGAATACGTTGTAGCTGCTAGTTTTTGTTCACAAATCCTATGGATGAGGACTCAACTGAGAGACTACGAATTCACATTCAACCATATCCCGATCTACAGTGACTCTCAGAGCGCAATAGCCCTAACCAGCAACCCCGTTCATCACTCCTCCACCAAACACATCGATCTGCGATATCACTTCATCAAGGACCACGTGGAGAAAGGAGACATTGATATGTAGTTTGTAAGCACCAAGCTTCAACTGGCTGATCTGTTTACTAAGGCTCTGGATGAAAAACGTTTCGAGTTCTTAGTATCCAAATTAGGCATGTTGAACCTCGAGCCTATGTAATTTGTCTCTCCAAGTGGTCTGACTAAAATTGTGTGTGTGCGTTGCATGTGTTGAGGGGGAGAAAATCAGAAAAATACCAAAAATAGTGTGTGTTGCATGTGTTAAAAAAATGAGAAAAACAACAAAAATAGTGCGTGTGTGTGTTAGGTGTGTGTTGCATTTGTATAGTGTTTGTGTTGCATGTGTGTGTATTTTTATTTTTATTTTTTTCATGCATCATCTGAGGGGGAGTTTTGATCTGTCAACAGAAATATACTTAAACAACTCTTTTTGGGCCTAAAACACTTTTAAAATCAATGCGGGCCCAGCACAAGTCTCTTGGGCCCAAACCTTTTCTCGCAAGGCCCATAAAATTTTTTCGCATACAAAAGGGACCTCGAAGACTCTGGTTTCGCACAATTTTCACTTTCTCACGCATTCTTGTTCTCGAAGTCCAGAGCCCTTCAAACTCTCTCTCGAACTCCTTTTTCATCTCTAATCTCTCTTCTCAGAATCTTCTCAAAGGTAGTAAACCTGTTTCCAATTCACATAAACACCATTTCAATGGTATTTGACCTTCTCTGAAATGGTTCACAAATTTTTTCACTATTTTGAAATTGAAAACAAAATCTCGAACGAAGAACTCGAAAAGGTTTTTAAATGTGATTATCCTTATGTATAAATGTGTTTTTGCAGGTGGATTTCGTCATATATCTTAGAGGCGACCTCGAGATTTCAGATCTTGAAGTTTAAACTCGAGGTTTTGATCTTGACGTTTCAACTTTGAGAACTAATCTCGAAGTTTAAATCTCGAGATTTGATCTCGAAGTTTAAACCTCCAGATTGGATCTCGAAGTTTAAACCTCGAAATTTGATCTCGAAGTTTAAACCTCGAGATCTGAATCTTGAAGTTTAAACCTCGAGATCTGAATCTCGAAGTTTAAACCTCGAGATCTGAATCTCGAAGTTTAAACCTCACGATCTGGATCTCGATGTTTAAACGTCGAGATTTGAATCTCGAAGGTTAAACCTCGAGATCTGAATCTTGACGCCTAAACCTCAAGATCTGGCTCTCGATGTTTAAACCTCGAGATCTGGCTCTTGATGTTTAAACCTCGAGATCTGAATCTGGATGTTTAAACCTTGAGATTGGGATCTCGAGGTTTTGCCTTAGAATTTTTTTTCAAACAAAAGTCCACCTGCCCAAAATTTCATCTGAAAATCCAAGAACAAAGTAAGATTCTCAAATGGATCAAAAACCAAAGGACTAATGTGCTAACTCATACTCTTTCAGTTCATCATGTCAGGCACAAATCAGATCGAGTTGAACACACAACTGTTCCTCAGAGAGAAATGGATCAAACTGCTGGACAACAACTACCAGCTAGATCTGAAACTAATCAAGTTCCAAGACCCCATCATTCCAACAATCATCAGGGGCCATTATCTCTGGACTGCATTTCACAAAGCAACCCCAGTCCCGGAGATCTATGTGCAGCAGCTCTGGGACCACATGCACACAGAGTCCAAAAAGGACAGAACAAAAATTGTGACGAAGTTGAGCAACCTGCGAGTGGTGCTGACACCCTCCACGCTAAGGACAACTCTAGAGCTGGCAGTGCTCAACAAATACGAACCTCTCCTATCCAACAAAGAGCAGATCTAAGGGATGCAGGATCTCGGCTACGATGCACCTGTACCACTGCTCTCCAACTTCTGCATAGACAGTCTGCCGCACCCATGGAAGAGTCTGTTTGGTTTAGTCAACAAATGCCTATCACCCAAGCACACCGGACACGACAAATGTAACAAGCGGATCCTCCAGATCTTCCATGGGATTGCCTTTGACATTAAGTATGACATAGCCCAGCTCTTCTGGACAGAGCTGATGGATCAGGTGAAAGCTAAGGAGAACAACAAAAGGGGCACAATTCCCTACGCTCGGTGGCTGGCTCTGATTATCTATGACATTGTGATAGCAAACCAGGCCATACCGAGACATAAAGATGAAGAGCAGTTCGTGGCCCCAAAACTGAAGTACTTCAAAAGGGGTGAACATGATGCTCCTGCAATGCGGATTCCAGATTCACTCCTCAACCTTGCCAATCAAAAGGATCTCGCCGTTGTCAAATACAAAGCAGTCGTGCAGAGAACAGTCCCTATGATTCAACAAAACCCAGTTGAGTCTACCCATGAGACTCAGCTGAGTGAAAGTGAGGGTCCCAAGAGAGCCAAGAAGCCACAGAAGCCAGTGGCACGTCGGCCCAATGAAGAACAGTCTGTCGACCCTTCCGAGAGGACTCAGACTGCTGAGGGCACCCCAACCAACGCTGAGGACACCATCGATGAACCATCTAGCCCGGCTACCAATAAGGCTGATGGGGAGGCATTCGATAGCGAGGCCGAGAAGAGAAATGATGACGAGGATGATGACGACGACAATGATGATAATGATGACAATGCTATTGCTGCCAAAATAAGAAAGAGCAAAATGATCGCCCAAACTCCCTCCAAGGTGTCTGTTGAACACGAAAGGAATCATAATTACTGAGACACGGTCCAAGCAGCAACATGACTTCATCTAATCCTACAAGCCGAAAAAGCGGCTAGTCAAGAAGAGCCTCATCGAAGAAGAAATCGAGTTTTTTGCTGACTGTGAACTCTTTATCCAGATAAGTTGAACCTCACCCTTAGGTTCAGGATCTGACCTTGTCAGTTCCCGGGTAGAAGATGCAACATTTGGTTCAACTGCGCACTTATAGCCCTCTCTTAGCCACTCTTCAACCTCTCAACAAGCTGGAGTTTCAATATCTAGGGAATTACCCACCTCTCTGGTCCCTTCCGGATCAGTTGAGAGAACTTGTGGTCAACAGCCCAGGACCACTACCCCTTCTTTCTCACGCACATCGAGTCTAGGTATCACACTCCCCACATTTTCTGTCTTTTATAGGACACCTACACTATTCACTGCACAGACTGGTGCACGCACCCTGAATGCAACGACCAGAGTGCAAACTATGACGGTCGGAAGTCCTGCTACGCAACCAGTGACTCAATCATTGAAAGCAAGCCACACATCAGCTATCTTCACTGATCTTGTGACAACAGTTCCAACCCCTGTAACTGGTACCCAGATACTCGAAGATCTCAACGTTCTTCTAAATCATTTTATGGAGTCCACCGTTATGCCATGGGTGCACGAAGCAATAACCGCTCGAGCACAGGACTTCACGAATACCCCAATGGTTCAGAGTGAACACAGCCAACCCCAACCTCAGCCCACACCCTCTCACTCCTAACCACAAAACACCCCAATCATTTTTAACACCTCTGCCACTAAAACACCCAACCCTACACCTTCTAGGGGAACCCATAATACAGAACTGGTATCATCCCCTTCATCGACCACACAAAATCCCTATACCATGTCATTCCCTGAGCTATCCGATATCCTGTTCCTACGCATTCTTTCCACTGATGACCACCTAATTACCCCTTTCCAAAGAGACCTTCTTGAGGTTTTCCACAAACACGATCGCCCATAACCCAGCACATGCCGTGAAAGTCCATGTGGTCACAAGCATTCACATGAGGATCCCGATGATTCGGCTCCTCATGAGGGGGAGAACAACCGGCCACGGACACTTGAGCATGGTGCCTCTACTAGCCAAACCCCGCAGCCAAATCAACCCCCCGCTTTTACCAACCAACAACCACCTTCCTCTAGCCAACATAAAGCACAAGCCATCTTATCTAGCCCAGTTGAGCTAGTCGAAACATTCTGAGGCTTATCTCCTAGAGATACATTCCAAGGAGGGAATGGAAGTTCTGACGGTGTTACCTCGGGTACATCATAACACTCAGGTCATCAGTCAAAACCTAAATCGAAGCTGATGACAACAGGCAATCCTAGTGATCCCGGCTCTACCTCTTCTAACCCTCCGTCCCAGGACATTCATGATGAGCTTGAAGACATCATTATACATGACAAATGGCCTCGCCAATGGATGGAGTGGGACGATATACGACAAGATGTAGAACAGTATGAGATGCAGAGGAACCTGTACATTCGAGAGCTGCTTGCAAAACGCGCTCCATATATAATACGGCTTGATGATGAGGAACTCAAAGAAGGGGAGGACTACAAAAGGGCTCCTAAGAAACTAGAATCTGTTATCAGGCAAACAGTTGCACAACTGCCCAAGAATGAAAAGTTTTGGGAGAACGCGAGAATAAAAGCCCCCTTCCAAGAGGAAATCAGAAAGAGAATATGGCGCAAACCTGAGAAAGTGAGAAAGCTGGATGAGCCGACAAAATGAAGAGAGAGATTCTCCTCCATCTCTCTAAAAATTCAACGTCAACTTGAATCATATGGAATTCCGGCAACCCCTTTTCCGCCGGAATCAACAGCAATTTCGGTGTGACAATTGCATCTGCCCTCATGTCAACTTTCATCATTTTAACCATGAGTTTTCAGGATAGACCAAGTGGGATAATACTCAGGCTAGAGCCCCTGCTAGTCAGTTCACGAGAAATGGAAGAATTATCTCACGAGAAGGTGAAGGTCGCTATTCAACCCACCTCTTGCATCGCTCACATACCTACTGAGATCGCAGGAATGGAATCAATACATATCTCTCGAGGTATTACGCACACAACAAAAACTCTTACGATCCCTCCGCCTTATTTACTATTCAAGATAGACCAAGTCACGCCCAAATCTCAGTGCTAAACTCACAGGGACGAAGACGGGTTGCTCAGAGTCGTCAACAACCCCAAACGGGGGAAGATGATGGCTGGCACACCATCATCTACAGGGGACGACGACACCCCCAGCCCAACCGCAGAATTACCTCGCTCCACAGCACCAACTTTGAAATCAATCGGGCAGAGCGTGCCATTAATCACTACCACCGATTACTACCTGAAAACGAAATTGAAATCGATTTTGAACCTAATAGATCGGCCCTGGTAAAGGAAACTCACAAACCCAGAGTAGAAGGCGGTTGGTTTGAGAGAAAAATAAGGCGAGACAATCGGAGCCAGAGGAATCGAAACAGCAAGGCGAGAGGACGCTCAGGATATCGTCTTGATCTCTGCGATGGAGTGTCACCAGACCACGGCAGAGGTAGCAGCCGCGAGAAAGCCATGGCAGACGCCTCTTCCTACTCTGCGCCAACCACCGCAGGTGAGAGGCCAACCTCCGACATCCAGTACATCGAGGAGACAAGAAGGCCAGGATCCATCCTTACACTCACATGGGCGGATGTGGTTGAGTCCAGTTCGGACAAAAATAAATCACCTCTCAAAATAAACCAAACATCTACATCAAAATAAAAGTCAACCCTTTCTATAGAGTTAGCACAAACGGATCCGGCTCAAATTATCCCCTCTACAGATGACTTATTCGAGAAATCAGATAAGTTCCATTTTTCGGAGAGGAAGGTTTTGATTCTATCAAAATTGAATCAAAGACCTTTAGATTTGCTGTCACGAAAAATGAGATGGTCATTTTTGAATTTAAAAAATCCTCACTGCATAGGATTAATTTCAAAAATGAGCTAGCGCCCGAGATCTTCAGATTTATAAACCATCTCTCCCGATCAGATAACTTTAGGGAAAATAGAAGATTTGGTACTATCACGGTATCCTCAAATTGCAACAGTTCTGGGTGGTATCTGAAGATAGCTAAGGAAAAGGAGAGCTTCATTAAAATCCCAATGGGCCTAAACAATGCCAATTTAATTATTTTCATGACTATATTATTAAATTTTGTTGGACTGAGTAATTTAGTGCAAGAGACAGCAATGGATATGCTACCATAAACTATGATTCTTACAGAGGAGCCTAAATCTATATCCAAACTTATTTTTGAATCCCAAATTCGAGAAGCATACTCTAAGAAAAATTATTCTCCTACTACAGTTGAGCAGCCCCTGCCGATCTAGGCTTACTCAGACACATCAGATACCTTTTACCAATCAGACGATTCTAGTTTCACGGACGACTTTCTAGGACATTCCATTGAAAGCGAGCGTCGTCCCATTATCTCAACTCCAGAAGAAATTAAGAAATCAAAATTCAACAGAGCAATCTGCCGGAAATCCAAATTTGTTACCCCTGAAAATTGCCTGCCGACGGAGAACCTAAACACGCAGATCAAAATCTACAGGAAATCTCAGAAAAACAAAAGGCGGCACAACATGACTACAGGGTGAGTGTATCCCAAATTTCCTTGGCAGATGTGCACTTCTTGATTCTGGTGAAGTACTTGTCATCTATGGCTTTGTACAGAATATCCTTGGCAATGTTGTCAAGGTTGTACTTCCTTCTCTCCTCAGCTGACCATTCTGAGCGAGCCTTGGTGATCATTTGTGGTTCATCACCACCAACAATGTATGCTGAGTTCACCTTCTTGAACTCAGTGAAAGGACCAACATCAAGAACTTCCCACGTCTCATCATGGAGTGCACAGAGATAGGCTTTCATGCGGATTCTCCAGTCATCAAACTTTACTACTGGGAACATAAGATTCTTGGAAAGTGTGTTATCCATAATATGAGATAAATAAAGAGGCTAAGAAACAAGCAGATCTTTGTTCAGCATGTAACCTAAAGGATTACAAGAACAAGGAGGCTATGATACCACTTGTTGGTCCCGGTCGTCTAGGAGACAGTCTAGAGGGGGGTGAATAGACTGTCTTGTTGTATAACAAACTCTCTAAGTCTTAATCAAGACTACCAAAGAAGGTCGAGTTCTGGTGACAGAACTAGACTTGGCAGCAGATAGGTTCTCTGTTCGGGTAGCCTCAGAAAAACACTAAGGCAAATGCCTTTCTGTTAACTCGCTAGGTGAGATCTGCTGAACACAAAGTCCAAACCTTTTGAGTCAAGCAGTCAGAATCTTAATGCTGAGAATAAAAAGCGTAAAGTAAATGACACTAGGGATTGTTATAGTGGTTCTAGGAACATTGCTTGATCCAATTCCTAATAGTCTTTTCTAATTTCGTGGGAATCTCAGATTTAGTGCAGGAGGAACATATGCACCGACTACCGGAAATCATGTCAGTTACAGAGGAGCCAACGTCAATTTCTAAGCTAATTTTTGATTATCAAATTCGGGAAGCATACTCAGACAAACACTGGTCTCCAACTCCTTTGGAACAACACAGGCTTGTTCAGGCATACTCAGACGCTTCAGACAACTTTTACCAATCAGATGACTCTTTGTTCATGGATGACTTCCTAGGGCATGCAACTGAAAGCGATCGTCGTCCACCTATCTCAACTCCGGCAGAGATAGTGAAATCAAAATTCAACAGAGCGATTTGCAAAAAAACCGAGTTTGTTACTTCAGAAAATTGCATGCCAACGGACAATTTGAACACACAAATCAAAATTTACAGGAAATCTCTAGAGAATAAGCGGCGCCACAACATGAAGACTAGGTCCCAGTGTAGAGAATTTTCTTGGGTGTAATTTTAGGCCTTACTTTCTGATGGTCTCGGATAGGGTAAAAGTTTAGAGGGGGGGTGAATAGACTTTTAAATCTTTTTCGACTTTTGAAAGTTTTCCCTCTAAGAGAGTTAGTCTATAAACTTTTTAGAGATTTATATATGCACAGCGGAAGTCTTTACCCTTTGTGTAATGAGTGTTTAGCCACTTTCTAACTTGGAGAGTGTTTAACTTAGAATGTTAGCAGTTGGCTTAGCAGGTGGCTAAGAGCAGGGAACTGCTGAGGCAACTGCTCAGGAAATGCAGAGTGTATGATGGAGGTAGAGATAGTTGTTTGATGAGTATGGTGTGGCCTTTTGGTAAGTATGCTTAAATGAAGGGAGACTAGCTTTTTGCTGAAGCAGTGGACTCGGCAGTTGGGTGAATATGAGGGAACTGCTGAGGCACCTGCTTGGGTCAAAAGCTTATTGTGTTAAGCAAACTTCTTGATGAGGTAGTGACAATCTGGTGATGTTTGAGATGTTGACACGAAACAAGTATATATGAGCGGAGGGCTCAGCAGTTGGGTGGACTCCAGGGAACTGCTGAGGCACCTGCTGTACTTAGAAGGTGAGTTTCAGAGAACTGAAAGAGTGATCCTTTTAAGTGGTGTTGGTGCACGTTAAAGGTGTGAATCTGGTTTTAAAGAAAGTGAGTAATTAAGCAGTAGGATAAGCAGTTGGGTCAATTAAGACAACTGCTTAGGATTCTGCCGGCAAACTACAATCTTTATGTGAGAAGTGTTGGGTGTGTGCTTTGTTGACTGAAGTGAATTCAACACACGATATATCCTGGTTCAGAGGTGGTGTAATCCTCCTACGTCCAGTCCCACCCTCTTTCAGATGGATTTCACTAAAGTATTAAACCCAATACACTTAGTGCCAATCTAGTCTTTACAACACTTAGGCCTAGATTGAAGGTTTTTCACGATGAGTATAGCACCACTCAAAGTTACTCAGTCCTTAGACATTTCTCTAATGAACCAGTGGGGATCAAAAGGTACTCTATCTATCTACTTACACTGTAGGATCCGAACAACTGTTCTCCTAAGTGTTTACAACAATATGTGATTTGTTACAAGAAAGTTCTAACCTCCAACTAGGAACTAAACTTATATGATGTAGTAATGAAGAGCTCGTATACTTGAAGTTTAGTGAAGCATGAGTCAGTGCAGAGAGTAAAGTTTAGAGCTGCACTTTCTCTTTTGCTAGATATCTCGTGTATGTTTCTGATAGAAATTCTCTCTTTGGATGCTCAAAGCTTGGTTAGAAACTTTCGTTTCAGCCTATATTTATAGGCATCTCCTTTGAATTAATATCATCCGTTGGTTAGGATGGATTAATCTTTGACGTTGAAATTCTGACAAGGACAAATTGTACATTCGTCTTCTTGTGCTGGAGCTTTAATTCGGGCTGATGCATTTGTCTTGAATAATTCACCCGCTGAAGTTTCTCTCCACATGAAACAGTTTCATGTGTGTGTCCCATGCCGCGGCCCCCAGTACTTGATTCGGTATTAAATACCGGTCAAGTTTTGCCTTCAATCATTCATTTGATATTACGAGCTTCGTGACATATGAGTAATTTTTGAGTCAAATAGTACTTGCCGGTAGGATTCAAATATCCTATTAAGGTAAAGAAATTTTACCTTATTGCATTTTTATTTTTCCGGTAATATTTCTTAGACTCAAAAACTGTACATTTAATTTGTCACGTTAATACTAGAAAAATGAGATACAATGTACACGTGCTAAGTATAGTGGCATCATCAAAATTTTATCAAAATTGGGTACTAACACTTTCTCTATACTGTTTTATTTTGTTTGTTTTATTTCCTTTTGTACCGTTTTTATTTCTCAATAAAATTCACTTTTCTTAATAAAAAAAGTGGTTCTAGGAACAACTTGTTCCTCTAGTCCATTGCTCCACTAAGCTTGTAAAACAGTCAGATTACACAGCCTTAGTCCTAGCACTTAAGAAGCACTCCTCGTCTTCTTCAAGTCTAGTTGTCACCCGAAATCCCGAAATCTGACTGTTTTACAACTAGACTTAAAGTAGACAATTCCTCATCCCGATATCTTTCACAATATCGGGCACCTGAAATCCCTCACCCGAAATTCCGGCTAAAGATTTTGGGTCTCCATCAAAAGGATTTCGGGTGGCTGACAATTTCGAGGATGAGGAATTTGGTAGGGGATTTTGGGTGAGGGAATTCGGGTGCCCGATATTGTGAAAGATTTCGGGAGCCCGTTATTTAGGTTGGATTTCGGGGATAAGGTTGAGTGATGGATTTCGGGTGCTATCTCGGGAAGGTAAATTCGGGTGAGGACCTTATTTCGAGATTGCGAATTTCGACTGTGAGGATTTTGAAAGGTCATAACTGTCAAGCTTTTTGGCTATGGAGTTCAATGGTAAGAGATTGGGGCTTTGTTGATGGAGACGAGGGTGGTGTGAGGGGAAGGCAAAAGGTAGAAGTTGGCGAGGGGAGGTTTCCGGTGTCCTAAATCGGTTCCCTCGTCATCGTTCTTCAAGTGTACCTGTGATCAAAATGCGAACATGGAAATATAAAAGAGAATAGTAAAACCACCTTGTGAAGTAGACGATAGATGAGGAAGATGAACTTGAGAAGATGAAGTTGAAAAATGTTGAGAGAGAAAACTCTTGAGTGCTTGAGAGTTTTAGAGAGAATATGAGACTAAGAGGGAGAAGAAAATGGTTCTAAGCAATATGTACCCACGAGAAAAAAGAAAAGAAAATCTTTTTGGCTTTTCTGATTTTTGGAAACTAACTCTTTTGAACAGACTAGAAAATCTAAAGTAACTCAAATTAAAAGAAAAAAATATTTTTGTGATTTTCTAATTTTTTGAAGGAAAAAAATTGTGGATACTAAAAGAAATAAACTACTCCCCCTCAAAAGTAGCACTCTTACCAGACAAAATTTGCTCCCCCTCAATGTTTGCACACTTTAGGGAAACAAAACAACAGATAAGAGACTGACTCCATAAAATTAAAAATTGACACGACAGAAAAAATAAAATAAAAAACTCCCCCTATATTTGTGCACAGAATCAGAATTCAAAATTCATCATCCTGAGTTTAGAAAGCAGGAACTGAAACCTTTTCTCGTCCAGAGCTTTTGTGAATAGATAAGCCAATTGTAGCTCTGTGCACACGAAGTATAGGTCCACATGACCTTTTTCAATATGATCCTTGATGAAGTGGAATCTCAGGTCAATGTGCTTAGTGCGAGAATGATGGACTAGGTTGCATGAAATAGCAATCGCACTTTTAGAGTCACTGTAAATGGGAATGTGGTTAGGGACGGGGGTATGCAT